CTTGTATACAACAAGGAGGGCGACTGTCCCCGAAGAGGGCAGGTAAGGCGGTGCATGGCTCGAGACATATAATTAGTAGTCAAGTCCTCACATTACAGACACTTCTGTGGTGGTGGTGGAGTGGTCAGGTTGTCAGGCGCTAAGGGAAGTGGCAGAGGGGGAGCAACAGAGCTCCCGCAGCTATTAATATGGTTCTGGCTTTAAACTCTTGTACAAGCAGCAGGTGAAAATCATCCCAAAGATCTGCAGGGTGTAAAGAGAAGAGAGAAATGCATGGAGAAACAGAATGGATGCAGTGGAGGCAACAGCCTGCAAGCTAACAGCATGGACTCAGACTGGAGTGGCAGCGAGCTCCTGCCTGGGGATAGTGCACTCCAGCTTGCAATAAGCAGCGGGAGAGAGCATAACCTGTGCTAATCCTCATAATTAATAACCAGCAGCTTCTTTGGGGTGTAATTTCGCTACCTGCCAGGATAAAGAGGAAGATGAGGAACTCCCAGAGATAGCTGCATCTGGAAGAAAAGAATATCCTGTGCCCGCCCCTCTAAAATGGGAGTGGGGGACATCCATACCCTACTCCTTTATTCATCACCCTCTCCCAGATAATTTACAGACCCACAGTGCCGTTCCTCAATATGACACAACTGAGGGAGAAAGGCTGGAAGACTTAAAGTAATCCTAATGACCCAGGGCAGGAAACTCCAGACCTGGTCTTCAGCTGCATGGGCACTCATGGCACATCCCCACAAGAGGTCTCTCTCAGGCCACCAAACTGCCTGCCATGGCGGCCACTGCCCTTCCCACAGCCTTGCAGCTGAAGTCTCCCCATTGCCCAAATGGGTGCACTCCTTCACCAGAAGCAAATTCTACAGACCGGCAGAAGAGGCCTTTGCTTTGGAGCCAGCAAAACCTCAGGCCCCCCAAAGTAAATGGCAACTTCTCCTTGCCAGGAAGGGAAGAGACCAAAACATCCCGTTTTTCCATCCCTCAGCTCTAGGGTTCCTTTAACTTCTGCCCAGCGTTCCCCCAAAACTCCACTCAGCCCTTTTACCTGCACACAAGCAATGCTGATCCCCACTGCCCCAATAATTTTCAGATGCTCTTGAATGAAGTTTTCCAGCTTGGTAATGCAACCACTCTGCAGAGTGAAAGGAGGGACATGGAAAATCAGCTTCATTTTAGCCTCTTGTTCACTTCAATCCAATGGTTGCAACCCTTGAAAGCAACACTATAAAAAGCAGTGCCTGGGAGTAATCTCTTCCCCCAGCATCACTGGAAAAGCTACACAGATGATGTAAACTGCATCATGTTTTGTATTGCTCTGGACCGACTGGCTCAGGAATCATCACACAAACCCAAGGCAGCTGCGAGCTAGGCAGGAGAAATGCAGAACAGGCAACATCACACAGAGGGAGCGTGTAATTTTTCTCCGAGATACGTGGAGAAGGTTCCCTTGCTCACTGCGTAGCACATGCTCAGAGAGGGTGTTTACTCCTGTCAGGACAAAAGGCCAAGGAAATGCTGCTGCGTGGATCCAGTACCAAGACCTCTAACATGACAGCAGCCTTTTAAGAGTAAATTCTTTCCACTGCTATTGATGACAGCAATGAGTTTCAGCATGGACCTGGAAAGCCAGGCTCTTGTCTGCCTCTACTTTGCAACTGCATCCTTGGCTGGCAGCGTGACTTCTCTGTGCCTTTTTCAGGCCCAAGTTTTTGTTGTCCTAAAGCAAAAATAAATCAGTAAAAGTGTTCCCTGGTTTGGGTTTTTCTGGTGTTGTTTGGTTTTTCTTGGTTTGTTTTGGTTGTTTTTGTTTGGGTTTTGTTTGTTTGTTTTTGGTTTTTGTTTTGTGACTGCTTTTTGTTTTTAAAATAGATTCCCTTTAAATAATTAAAGTGTTTAATCTACTGAGGCAGGTCTTCCATGGTAACATCAGGGGTATTTATTGTGTAGGCTACAGCAGAGTCCTGAGGATGCTGGGGGCCCTCCTGCCCCAGGAGTTTACAGCAAACACAGACACACACATAGGTGGAGGGAAGGAGCAAGCACGCAGCCCTCCAGGAAGGGATGGCAAAGGTCTCACTTTTCCCATGCCAGCATTAGGTTTTAGAGTCAGCCTCAGCTCCCTGATATGAAGCAGTTACTCCAGTTACCTGATCTGACCCTTTTCTAGGTTCTGCTTCCCCAAAGCCACTAAAATCCTTTCTGAACTCTGACTGAGACCTCATATGACAACATGCAGCATCTGACTGTACATCCAAACCTCCCCTTACAGTTCTTTCTCCTCTAGAGCTAGCCCAATGCATTTGGCACCCTACAGGGCCTCTCTTAATACAGCTGGGCAGCCACTTCTTCTCTTTTCTTCTCTCTTCTGCACTTCCTCACTGGATCCTACCTGGAAGGGCCAAACCTTATGGGAAAGCCTTTTCCCTGAAGAGCAAAACCCAGTCAAGCAGTTGGACATAAGAGGGGCTTTGGTAGATAAGAAAGACTGGACTTCACTGTCTCCCTGTTGATTCTCCAAAGATACACGGTTGGTTTCCTTTTAGCTATTTGAATTGCTTGGCTTAATGGAAGAAGTTATTCATGCTCCTCTTCTGAGTCTTGCTCAAAGCACAGACTGTGAGATGAAACACCTGCTTTGAAGGAGCCACCTCTTCATCCACAGCCCTCCTTAACTGTCAGAGGGAACGGAACAAGGGAAAAGCTCCAGCTGCTGCTCCCCAGGCTCAATGTAGCCAAGGTTCCGGTTACAAGGACTATGCAACCTCATAGAGATCATCACAGTGAACAAGTTAAAGCCAGGTGACAGGACTGGAGGATGCCCAAATAAATGCAAGAACTTTTACCAGCCTTATGCAAACTAGATGAATAAGTGGTCTGAGAGCTACCTGTTTACTTACTTGGCTAGTCTGGGATTCACTTTACTTCCAAATTTACTATCTTAACTCCAGCCTTCTTTACAGCCCAAACTGCAGCCCACTGGAACTGGCCTAATTTGTCTGCTTCAGGTCCTTCTTTCTTCTCCATATCCTGTTTCTTCACGCTCTAGGTCCAATCCCACTGTCTCAAGGGACCAGAGGTGTTTTCCGTTTGCACCTCACTGAGTAATTCCAGCAAGAGGAAGCTGTGTCAAACATATGGCTCACACCCTAGTCCCTTGGCACAACCAACAACCTCTTCCACTTCCCTCTATCACTAGCATACTCTGTAGTAACAAGTATCATTTATTCTTTTTCTTGAAGTCTACATATAAAATAATAGCCTAGATGGCTGACAGCTCAACTAGAGAAATGAATTCTGCTTTCTAAGGACTCCTACTGACTTTGGAGCCTACCAACAGTTTGCAGCATCAACCCAAACATCCTCTCTCCCTGCCCTCCTGCTTTACACACTTTGTGGCAGGTGGCTCTGAAGCCCTTTTGCTCCTTACCTCCTTGTAGATGTTGGAAGGATGGTCTCTTCGGCCACAGTGGTCGGTTATCGTCTTACAGCAGCTGTCTGGGACTTTCCGTCCACTGGCCGCTGAAGACTTGATCCAGAGGCTGTCAGCCCAGTCTGTGTAGTTGTTGCTCCCACAGCACTTGAACTGCGCACACACAGAGCAAAGGTTGAACCTGCAACCACTGCAACCTCCTTCTCACTCCACCTCCCACACCAAGCCCTGAGCTTCACCCTCCTTTGCAGAGAGACTCCAGATATCTCATGGGCTTTTTTTCTTTAGGCTACCATAATTATTAGAGACTTTTGGTGTAAGAATCCCCAAAATAGCCATCAAATATCAGCTTCATCCATTTTTCAGCAGCTATGACTTTTTGTTACTGCTGAGATGAACTATAACCAGAGTACAGCTGCCTCAGCTCTTAACCACCGGACTGGAGAGTGTTAATGGTGATAACAGGGTAAGTCCAATTACCAGTTACTATCGTAAATACACCTGCTAAGGCAGTATGGTATAGTAGGCCCCATGCTTTGAAAGTGCCTGTCCACAAGGGTCCTTTCTGTGGGAAAGACTGTCAGAACTGTGACAGTCCTAACCAGAATCACCCCTGAGCCAGACACAGCTAGCAACAGCAGCAGGAAGGCTCTTCTTTCATTACATCTTGCTCTCTAGGGTACTGGGGAGCTTAATGAAAAATGTCAGCAATTTCACGAGTACTTTGAAGTGGAAAGTAGAAACCGATGTCAGAGTGACTGGGCAGCTCCACATCACTCTGGGAGCAATTCAGATGTTTCCTCAGTGCTACTGGGCATAAAACGCAGAGATCACACCACACAATTCTGCTGGTTGCATGGCCCAGGCCCTGCAGTTCCCCCAGCCTTGTCTTGAACCACAAACAGCAGAACATATACTCAACATACAGAAGAAACACTTTTATGTTGGATGTCAAGAGCCCATGATGCCTTTGTGTGTTTGACTTGAGGCCCTGTAACTGTATTAATTCTCCCTGCCTCTAGAGATGCTTACCTCCTGCTGCAGCTTGTCTACTGCGCTGGTAACACTCTCTTCTCCCTCCTTCCGGTACTTCTGGGTCATGGTGTTCTTCAAATTTTGCTTCAGTTCCATGCTCAGCTGAATGGAACAGATAAATGGGATAAAATCACATCACAAGGCAAACTCACCCCTCAGAAGAACGCAGAGCCCTGCCCACATTTTGTTGCCTTTGCTCCAAGAGAAAAGCAGAGCACCTGGAGGAAACTACAGCTTCCTTCAAGATCTTCCTCCAAGGTTCTACTGGACAGGCTTATTTCCAATTGATTACATTGATCATGGCTCCATTTTAGTAACTGGAAGGAGGTGCTTCAGGACCAAATTTCAGCCTGTGCTACCCATCACCATATGGGTCCTCACTTTGAGCATGTAAGATTGCCTAGACATGCCCACATCAAGAGAGATACCAAACTGTGCCTATTTAAACATGAATATGCCTATGAGACCACGTGCAGCCTTCTCCCTCTGAAGCTTGTGACAAAATACTAAAAACCAAATAATTCTGTCCAAGAGCAGGAAGAAATCAGAGTCCTGGGCATGCTGAACTGAAGCCATGCACTCTGAATAGCTCTTGTATCGGCATCAAAAAGGATGCCACAGGAGGGAATTAAGTGTGCAACTAAAAAAGTATTGCAAGGCCTTTCTTGATAACAGTGATAGAGAGGTGCAGTATGATTTTGGAAGTATGGAATTTCTGAAAGCATCATCATAAACCAGTGGTGTGTTCAGGTGACTGGATTCAAAAATTTATTCCTGTGGAGGCTCTTTTAATCCAGCTGAATTCTTCTCACCTATCCATGTGATAGCCAAAAAGTGCCAAAGAACTGCATCCTTTTTTTGTCATCCTGGAAGTAGTAAATGAGAGGCCAAGCATCTGGTTATGCTGAACTGTACAAAACAGAGTCTACAGATTACTCTCCCTTTGAAACACCATTTTTTCCAACCCCATGTATCAAATGGGGACAACACCTACCTCACAGAGATAAGAGGCTTCATTCACTAATATCTGAAAAGTGCTTTGAGATCCTGGGCTGGGAAGCTCTACAGAAGTGCAAAAGACTTCATGTAATAGAAAGGAAAAAGTTCAGCAACTGGAAGGCATCAGAGGCAAATAAAGAGGAGAGTCCATTAGCAGAATTATTACTTGGGAGAAGAGCAGTTACCTGCAGGCTCACGGGGAAATACTGCAGCATGGAATAGAGATAACAAAAAAACCAGTTTAGACACACACATGCAAGCCTTAGACACCAAAGCAAGGGCTGAAATAAAAAGAATGCTCAGAGCAAGCAGTCTGCAACCAGGACAGAATGGTGATTTGTCAGCCAGAGGGCAAGGGGAAGTGCAGCTATTGATCAGAGATGCTCTAACGTGATCCAAAGCACTTAAGGGTACAGCTCCGAATATTTTGTCCCATATTTCAACCTAAGGATCAGCTCCTCTTCATTCACTGTCACATAAAAACCTCGTGCCTTTGCATGGATGGATAGACAGACCTCGTCCTCTTGCCATACTCGCCAGGACTGATCTTTCCCTGTTGTATGCGCACGCTCATGCCACTGATCCCTGCATGTTTCTTTAGCTCCTCGCAAACCGCTAGTGTCCATCTTAGTGAGGCAAAACACAGAAGGCCCATGAGAAAAAGTAACGGCAAAGAATCCTGACAGTAAGCCAATAAGATGGGATGTCCAGCTGCTTCTCAGCCAGCCACCCGACAACAATCCTAATTTGCCTTTTCCAGTCAATTCCCAGACACAAGAGCAACTTCCCAGGCTGTCTGTGCCTTGATGGCTAAATTCCCTTTGAAAAGAAAGCAATGGCTTAAGCCTCTGCTCTATGCAACTGCACAAAGTGCCAAGCTAGAACTGCAGCTGCTGGGAGCCCGTGCCCTTCAGCTGGGCTGGTTAAGTAAAGCTCTCAAAAACTTCTTGACCTGAAAGGACCTCTCAGCTGGACCACTCATATCTTTGCCAGTTCAAGAGTATGGTAGCTAGCTTGCTGGATACAGCAGGAACTGTTCGTATGCCCTGAATATACTCAGTGGCACTAACGTTGCCTGCACTATGCCTTGAAGGGCATTAGGACAGTTCCTAGATACACACAGCCTCAAAAATTGTCTTCTACACACCCCTGCAGAAAAACAGCACATGAAGGTGAGCCACAGGAAGGAGCTGAGCAGCCAACCTAGAGTAACCACCACCGTTTTGTCATCAACAGGAAATAATCCAAGATCTTCTGTATGGGGAGGGGAGTAAGTATGGACATGTGGAAAGGTGAACCACGATCAGACCCTATGTCCCAAACCTCCAAGCCCAATTCTGGCTAGAGAAATGGGATGACAACCAGCTGTTTTCTCTCCCCAGTTTGATTTTCTAAGGACTAACGTTCACTCACCTGCTGGTAGTAGATATAGGCCAGGATTCCAGCAATGATCTCCAGAAGAAAGATGCACAGCAACAATATGAAGTACTGTAAAATAATTGGAATAGCAGGACATTAGAACAGAATGTAAGGAGATGACAGAAGCCAGCTTTTCATGAGCTGGTAAAATGCATGACTGTCTTCATCAATGCTGTTCTGCAGCAGGCTTCAGAGGCAGGGGCTGGGATTATGACCCCAACAGCGTAAAAAAGGAACAGTTCCACAGGTTAAAAAAAAAATCCGAACCACAGGACAACTGAATACAAGGAGGCAAACATGAGTTTAACTGACAGAGCCAGAGAGATGCAGATAATGAAAAAGGGCAGGCAACTGAGGTAAGATTACTGGACAAAAGAAAGTGGCTGCTGCATAACCTGACAACTACGTTCGATATTACAGAAAACATCTGATTCTGACATCAATTTAAAAAACCTGAAACTTCTGCATGTTTTGCTATTGTAGAGGACATTTCATCAAGTTACTACGGTGCAATATATGTTGTTATAATGATGATTCAGTAAAGCAACAAAGGTTTCACAAAGGATACAGCCGACCACCTGAGCATAAGCACAAATCATAGATTTACATTCCCAGAGACTTCTGTGGGGCTCGCCCACAGGCTGAAGGGCACTACTGAAGCAGATGGATTTTAGCACTGATTCATAGTCAGGACTGTGACTATATATTCTGCTGAACTAGGAACTAGAGGGAAAAGCTCAGTTTCTCAAGACCAAAGCAAGAAGAACTCTTGTAAGACTTAGGGGAGAACACAGCAATTTCTTAAAAGGGCTTAATGGCAATGAAATGGAAAGGGATGTGCCCTTTCCACAAGGAGAATCAAACCAGTAGTACAGTAAACTTGGGAGCATTGTTCCTATACACACACAGGAAGGGAAGCCAGACCTATGAGGAGGAATATGTGCACTAGATTAAAGGTCTGCGCAGGCCTGAAGACAGAGGGTCATGTGACCACTTCCTCATTAGTGTCAAAGAGAGCTTCTCAGGGAGGACCCCTGTCCTGACACACAGCCCCTGCCTTGCTTCTAGTCAGCAATGAACAGTTTCTTTATAGATCCAGGCTGTTCTATGACTGCTACTAAATTCATCTTTCTGTGGGTAAAACTGAAGAGACACCAGTTCCAGCCATAACAAGAACCTCATGCTAAGTCTCTGTAAGAGCTGGCCTCCCCAGGACAGAACAAAGAAAGTATCTCCCATTTGCTGTTTTACCTGAGCGTAAGAAATGGCTGTTCCCAAGGGATGAAGCAGCTCCCTACAAATGTAATCAGACATCAAACTATCTTTACCCAGCACAAAGAAGGACAGTGAAGACCTGGCCACAGCAAGCTGACCGACACAGCACGAATGCCTTTTGTTGCACAAGGGTTACACTCCCATTGCGCATCTTCCTTCGGAGGACACAGACACACTCAGACCTCCTCTTCTGCCCACTGGGATTCAGCAGCTGTGAAGGATGGACAGCTGGGCTTTATCTGCAGACCACGCGTTAATCTGACCACACAATCTCAGGCTTTCACTCCCCAGCTGCTTAACACTGACCATCTCTGCAGATGCCTGTACAAGGTACCCATTCATACCAGGGGAATGAGTCACTCCGCAGAGTGTGGGATAGCTGAAGGCCAGACCCAGCACTCACAGGAGGTTGAAAGTGGGCAAGAAAGGCTTGGCATGCCTTGACACAAAGTCTGACTTTCTTTTGATGAGACCTAGTTATGCCCTAACTGCTCTGACACCATCTCTCTAGGAGGTGGCAGGAGGATGGCAGGATGCTGAGAATGACCACTGAACTGGAAAGTATCACTTATTTTTCCTTGATCTGCGTCATCACATCAGAGGCATTCAGGTAGAACTGCGTTGTGTCACGACAGCCGTCATGGTTTAACCCAGCAAGCAGCTAAACACAACGCAGCCATTTGCTCACTTCACCCTCCAGGGTAGGGTGGGGGAGAAAATTGCAGAGAGGTAGGAGCACTCGTGGGTTGAGATAAAAACAGTTTAATGATTAAAATAAACAAAACTAAAATAATAACACTAATGAATTGTCATAAGAATAGGAACAATGACAATAAAACAATCAAAGTTATACTCAGTACTCACACAGCAGTCACTGCCATGGTCCAGCAAAAACACAATGAGCAACGACAGGGGAGGGGTGAGCCTTAGGAACAGGATAGCGGGCAAGACCCTCCAGGAACAGCAACCATCAAAACAGGAGAGGGAATCCCCAGCAAACTCCTCAGTTTATGAGTGAGATGTTTATGGTGTAGAATATTTTCTGTTTGCCACCATGGTCACCCGTCCTGTCTGCTTGTAAAGAAAAGGCTGGGAGGACAGGCAAAAACTGAAAAAGCAAACTGTCCTTGAATTAATGTAAACATCACCTGGTAACAACCAAAACATCAGTGTGTTATCACACCACTCTCAGCATAATCAAAACAAAAGTCACACTAGCTACTATGAAGTAAAATAACTGTCCCAGCTAAAACTGAAACAACTTGTTTTTACTAAATCTGCCACTGCAGTCCCCTCAGAAACACAGGTCTGCTAAACAGAAAATGGATTCTATGATTCTATCCCAGGAAAACAGCTTGGCTCATTGTGCTGGCTTACAGTGGGTAGAAACAAACATGTAACCAGCAGACCTTAAAAAATTTGATTCACAAGGCCCTTGTACAACCTTGTAAGAGAGATTAGTTCATCTGCCACCCACACATCCAACCTGTCTCTACTGATAAACTGCATCAGCCTCATCGTTCCCTCAAGGCCACTTCTGTGCTGAAACTGGGGAGCAGCAGCTTTCACTCTGTACACACACAGAGCACAGGGCTGCTCTCCTTGCTCTTCATCAGGAATTGAAGGGCTTTCTTACAGAAGTCTGCCCTGGGAGGAGTAGGCCAGCCCCAGCACGGGGCTGCAGGGACAGGTACTACTTGCTCCCCAAGAGGCTGCAAAACAACTCAGAAATGTGACATCACCCAAAGGCCTGTACTAGATACCTGTCTGGACCTGGGAGGACTCTGGACAAAAATTTACTCTTACTCTGGCTCCAACTCGGAGTCAGGGCTCCCTGGTGTCTCCTCACAATCTACAGGGTCCAGATTTCTTCCATCCAGTTTCAAATGTTTGAGTGAAGTGCCAAGCTTTAGTGTGCTTTTTCTGACTAACTCAAAGAAATGGTTTAATCTGCCTACAGTCCAAAATCACTTTCTGGAGAGATCTTTCCACTGCATGAAGAAGAAATATATAGCAAGTGTACTCCAAAATCAGCAATCTCACTTCAGTGGGAGGGCTCGAGACTGAAACGCAGCAGGAACAAAAATAATAACCAATGCATTCCCTTCTCCCTATCCAAGGTCACTAACTAGAAGTGTCAGTGTGAGGGGCCAAGCCTGAAGAAAGCCACCTCCTTTCAGTACATGCAAGGTCTTCTATTTGATGGGTCCTTTCCCGAGACTCCCGCATGCATACTTCTGTGTATGAAAGCACGCATCTCGACTGAAGTACAACACAGCAGTGGTTTGTGTGCTTGTAAACAGCTGGACTGGAGCACCGCACCCAGCCAGGCTGCAGATCCTCTGCCGTGTCTGCTCATGGGGCCAGAGAAACTCCACATCTGCTGCTCAGGCCTCAGCATATCACCTGGCTAAGGTGGGACACAAGGAAGGCAAATACACAACGACATAGCACAGGTGTGAATGATGAGCAGTAAAATACTATGAAAAGCCTTGAAGCGGACCCATAGAACTCGTAGGTAGAAAGGCAGCAAAAAAAATCACAGCTTCCCAAGTTTTCAACAGAAAAAAATAAAACTAAAAAATAGATGTATGTTTTACAAAAGCCCAAAAAGCTGCCAATAATTGATTTTTGAAAGCACCAAGGAGGCACTGGGGAGAGTGGAGAGTGACACTTCGAGTGCTTCTTCCCGCATTTACATGGGCCTTTGGTACAGAGAGAAATTGGGACAAGCTGGCACGGACCCTGGGGCACTGACTGTGAAGCTGTCAGAATTACTGTCTGAGCTCAGAGCTGGCAAAGGCCCCCATCCAGGCTCACCCAGCCCTGGCAAGCACAGCCCTAGCTCTTGTGGGGATTACTCACCGGCAACCAAAGCAGAACACAAGCACGAAGAGACAATAGGCCTGTCTCGACCAGCCACTCTGACAGGATGTGTGGTGCAAGGACACAGAGCGACCTTTTGTTCCCAAGAGACAATTACTAGTTTTCTGTTGCAGAGTAAAAGAAAACCCTACCGGATTTTCATCTGTAGCTTCTGGCTGAGGCAAAAAAGAAAGTAAGTGAAGCAAGGCCAAAACAGACTGCCCTAGACCAGGAGCCTAATGAACAAGCACCAGCAATGCACACACTGTGTCCTCCTCTGCTCTATTCTCCCTTCTTGGCCATATTCTGCCCCTCACAGAGATTACCAGGCCTTCAAAACAGTGGTACAAGCACCAGGCTTGATCATGACTGCTATTTCTGCTCCTCTATCCAAATCAAAGCCGGGAATCGGGACAGTCAGGTGAATGAGGATCTGCAAAGGAAGGAGTTGGTAAAGAGTTGCTAAAATATCCTTTTTTGTTACTGTGAAAGCAAAGAACCACTGATTGTTGTATCACAGAATATTAGGAGCTGGAAGGGAC